CAAAAAAAACCAAAAAAAAAACAAGTGTATTAAAGATGTTAAAGACTGGATGATCAACAATATTCTTTTCTTAAACTCAGACAAAACAGAATTATTACTCAGTGGGCCTAAATCCTGTACACAGCAGATCTCACAACCTGACCTACAATTAGTGGGATACAAAGTTAGCGATAGCTCTACTATAAAAGATCTGGGTGCCATACTATAGCATACTATAGCAATTTAACTTTTGAAAAAAACTACCTTCTTTCATCTGAGAAATATAGCTAAGTTACGAAGTATGCTGTCCATATCAGATGCAGAAAAGCTAGTCCATGCTTTTATAACTTCAAGGCTGGATTACTGTAATGCTCTGTTTGCTGGTTGCTCAGCATCCTCTATTAACAAACTTCAGCTAGTACAAAATGCAGCTGCCAGATTTCTTACCAAGTCTAGAAAATATGATCATATCACCTTAATTTTATCCTCCTTACACTGGCTGCCTGTTAAGTTTTGTATTGAATATAAAATATTGCTTCTTACCTATAAAGCTTTAAATAATCTAGCTCCTGTTTCTCTAACCAACCTTCTGTCTTGCTACAATTCAACTTGCTCTTTAAGATTTCAAAACTTAGGGCTTCTGGTAGTACCTAGAATAGCAAAGTCAAGTAAAGGAGGTCAAGCCTCTTCATTTATGGCTCGTAAACTCTGAAATGAAGCTTCAGGGACAGATAAGTCTTCGCTAAGTTCCAGCTTCCAGACTCCGGCGCCTTGACTGCTGCTCTGCACAAGACGTTTGGCCAGTGGAGAAATGGTCGTGCACAACTGGGCCTGATTTCTCTCGAGGTTTTTCTTCACTTTCGCCAATTGCTGAAGTTTTTTTTTCCACTCCACTGTCGCCACTGACTTGCATGGTTGAAAATCTGTAGAGCTGCGCATCGATGGATTTGCTCTTCAGTGTTTGGACTCCCAGTAGTGTTTATTAAACCACAAAGAACTGAGCTAAACTGAACACTTAAAACTGAAATACACTGTTTCAATTTATGGTCTTTTATGTGAAGCTGCTTTGATACAGTCTTCATTGTATAAGCGCTATACAAATAAAGGTGAATGGAATTGAATATCAATTAATTAATAAATAAACTCCATCCAGTGCAAAAAAATAAAAATCATTCAGCACTGATCTTCATGTTGTTCCAAACCTGTAGTAATAAAAAATAAAACAAATAACCTGATTTATGCATTTATTTAAAAAAAAAAAAAAACTTTATTCTACAAATACCACTTTTACTTCATTTGATGTTTTTTAGTCAACTTCATTGAGCCTCTGCAAAAAAAAAAAAGAAGAAAAAAAAGAAAGTGCTTTTTAAGTGAGTGATTAAGTGATTTTTTTAATTTCGCCTTTAAATGTATATCGTTCATGTACAGCAGAGGTGTCCAAACTCGGTCCTGGAGGGGAGGTGTCCTGCAGAATTTAGCTCCAACTTGCCCCAACACACCTGCAATGTTGTTTTTAAAAGCCTAGTAAAGCTGCAGTCACACTGGACTTGTCTCCCCTTAGACTTCCATTCATTCGCACGCGAATGCGTCAGACTGGAAACGCAGGGTCATGCGTCAAATTTTGCAAGTTGCTGCCGTGCAAAGTTCAAGCTTGGTGAACTCTGACCTGCGAAATCGCATCCCTTGACTGTGTAAGACCAATCAAAGATCACAACATGACCTCTCTGGACAGAAATTTAAAACATGGAGCAATAGCTTGCTTTTTTTAATGTCTAATCATCTTGTTTCATCCCACCTCTTTTTGCATCGCTGTACGACAGAATTTTGCACACACAAACTCTAGTGTGACCGCAGCTTAAGAGCTTGATTAGCTAGCCCAGGTGTGTCTGATTGGGGTTGGAACTAAACTTTGCAGGACACCGGCCCTCCAGGACTGAGCTTGGACATGCCTGATAAACAGTATAATACTTACCTTTAAATAAGCTCTAATGTGGCATTAATTGACTCCTGATATACTGTAAAACGTTAAATTAATATAAGGTTAAAAACATAAAAAGAACCAAAAGAAAAAAAAAATCACTTAATTACGTTTTTTTTTTTTTTTCAAATAATAATAATAATAATAAAGTTAGCATATAAAAAAGCACACACACATAATCCAGATAGGGTTAGAAACATGTTTGTCAAAAAAAAAAAAAAAAATCAATTCTCAAAAAAAAAAAAAAAGTTAAAATAATTATTAAAACAAACAAAAAGTCGGCAACACTGAAAATCCAAAGGATCCAATCTTTATTATTATTTATTTTAAAAAGTTTAATAAAACAAACGTTTCCAATGTCCTTATGAATGCACAGTTGGAAACACAGCTCTGAAAAATACTAAGCAACAAATTCACAATCTGGGACCTGACAGTAGAGGTTTGTGAATCTCTGTGATAATCCCTGTGCACGACTGCACGTTAGCTATTTAACTGATGAGATTGGAATTTAATGGTTTTTATGTGTATAAAGTCTGCTTATTTGCCAAAAAGACACATTACAGTGTTAGCATCTGTACATTATGGAAATAGGCAATATCCAATGAATAAATATACTAAAATAATGTAAGAAGATATTTGAGGAGAGGCTACCTAACAATGTAGCCTTTAAAAACACAATTCAGGACAACAACATACACAGACCTACTTTAGAAACCCTCAAAAACATTTGAACACATTTTACTTACTCATTGTAGATTCTTACTTATGGCTTAAAAACACCATCCGAACTGCTAAATAGAGAATGGAGCACTCAGAAGTAAACAAATCAACATATTCTGAAAACTTTTATCACAATTTTGTGTTTGGAATAAGACAGTATTAGTGTTATTATATTATCAATGACCTCAAGAATCAAGAGCGTCTGTGCTCTGCGTCTGACACCTTCAAACGCCACTGCGCGTTCACTGCGTGTCAGGATTGCCTTCATTTTGCGCGTGTCAGGAGGCGCAAGTCATTTATTAGATGAAGAAACGATTGATGCAGCTTCTCCTACTGCAGCAAATTCTGGTTTTACTGTTGCCAGTTAATCAGGAAGTGGCGATTTTGTTCGCTTTGACTCATTGGATGGAAACGCGGCTTTTTTTGCACGTCTTTTATTCGATAATCCAGTTTTGCACATAAAGTTTATTTACATTTTTGGATAGAAGCATAGCTGCTGTCTAAATCATTATTTTCTGCATTAGGGTAAATGCACTTCTATATATAGCACAATAAAAGCATCAGTGTAGATGGGACAGTAATGGTAAAACAGTAATTTCCCATTTGTTGTCACAGTTACTTCCTGTAATTGGTACATAAAGTAAATTGTTTTAATTTATTCTTTGTACTACAAATTACAGATTAGAAAGCTTCTTTTACAGTAAAATATGGTTTTCTTTTATTAGAGCAAAACACTGGCTATTTTACATTTAGTTACTGCAATATCTACAGTAAGGTTTAACAGTGTAGGGAAGTTACTGTGTATGTTAATAAATGTTTTATTCTTGCTGTTTTGTGAGCTCATCTAAATTGAGGATTACTTATGCATTACATGTCTTATTCATGACAGCTAAAGGCTGTCATATTTTTATGACAGATATATTACAGTAACAATTTATTTTAAACACCTTTTAGAAGATGCAAGAATGTTCAGTATCAGGGGGACGTTTGGCCTGAGTTACAAGTGAGAATTCTCTAAAAAAAAAAAAAAAATGCTAAATTGTAGTATCCTGAGCTGGATCGGTATATTTTTCTTATAGTTTAATAAGTATTATAGTAAATATAAAGTCCTGGAAAATGTAACACCTGGAAAGTGTGACTACCCTGAAATGGCATTGAATAGTAGGAATAACAGATTTATTAAATGTTATTTCATTAGATAAATTGATCTGTTATAATGTATGTTTATGCTGTCAGCTTTAACATACTGCATGCTAATATACGTCTATTTTTGTATAGATTGTCAGGATTTTGCATTATTTATTATTTATTAGTAATTAATTCTGCTAGCCTGTTCAACATTTGTAGCTTTTTAATGTTATTCGTTCTCTATACAGTTTTACTAATTATTGTAACATGTATATGTTCTGTTCATAGATTGTCATTTTGTAGACTATTTATTCATAGCTGTGAAATATTATGTATTACTGTTACAACAGAACCAGACTAGAGACAATGGTACATGAAATTTCCCAAAAAAGGAATTGCGATTAATTAATGACTTGATATTTTTCAATAGTATATTGCGAATTGGAATGAACCACATGGGGAAAAAAGGGAATCACACCTCAGCAATGACTGGAAATTGATGATCATGAAAGAAAAAAAAAAAAAAAAAAAAAAAAAGATGGGCATGTGCATGGATGGATGTCCTTCCAACATAAGGTTGGTTGTGGATGGTATAGTTGGATAGGCCTTGTCTGTGCCAGGTTTTTCTTTTCTTTTTTATTTTTGGTAATGGAGATAGAGCAGGCTGAAGAGGAGACTTACAAGCAGTGTTGGGGAGGTTACTTTGGAAATTTAATAGATTACAAATTACCCTATTTAAATGCAATAAGTAGTGCACTTTAATTACTTTATAAAAAAAAAATAAAAAATCAAAATAAAAAAAGTTACTGATTACGTTGATTACTTTTTTCTAATGGATATTTTCAACTAAATCATTTAAGCAATTAAACCAAGCAGGTGTGACCTCACAGCAGCACTATTTTTACATTAAAATCTTTCATCAAGTGCAAAAATCACTGGAAAACAAAAGGACAGGTGAGGAGAAAAAAAAAAAAAAAAAAAAAAAAGTGAATGGGTTTCTGTAGAAAGACAACAGTGTCCTACTCAAACCACACTGGGTTCCTATTAAACTTTTAGGTTCAAAATGTTGCTAAATTGTCACTTGTTAAATTGTATACATTTCAATGGATTTCTTTGAATAGTCAGTTTGCTACATAGTGGCAACTACTTAAACATCCCACACCCACCAAAAATAAATAATTTATGCCTAGGAAACTTGACTTCAAACTTTTATTGGAAAACAGCTTAGAAACATGGAGTCACATAGCAGTTAAACAGTTCCTAATCCTTGACAGAGTAGTAACGTTTTAGGGCAGAAAAGCTGCTGGAAGGATTAGAAATGTCACCAGTTGAGGTCAGGAGGACAGAGGATGAAGATCCTGTAGAAGACACATCTTTGGCATTTTGTGGCTGGATTGGTCCACCATATGTGCTTCCTTGCAAAGTGTAAGGAGCAGAAGAACCTGTCCGAGTGCCATAGACAGAGGTAATCTGCTTTGAACTGGGCACAGCTGACTGGCTAGTAACAACTTGGGGCAAGGAAAAAGCTACATATGGGCTCAAAGATCCCGAAACAAACTGGCTTGTGGCATCTTGACCTTGGAGTACTCCTTGCAAAGTGAATGGGGCAGAAGAACCTGTTTGGGTGGTATAGACAGAAGTAACCTGCTTTGAACTTGGCACAGGTGTCAACTGACTAGTAACATCTTGGGGCAATGTTACGGATACGTATGGGGTTGAAGATCCATAAACAACCTGGCTTGTTGAATCTTGACCCTGGAGTACTCCTTGCAAAGGGAAAGGGACAGAGGATCCTGTCTGGGTTGTATAGACAGAGGTGACCGGCTTTGAACCTGGCACAGGTGTCAAATGACTAGTCACAACTTGGGGTGATGATACAGATACGTAAGGGGTTGAAGATGCTAAAACTAATTTACTAGTGGCATCTTGAGTCTGGATTTGTCCCCCATATGTGCCACTTTCTTTAAAAGTGAAAGGGGCAGAGGATCCTGTCTGGGTGGTATAGACGGATGTTATCTGCTTAGAACTAGGCAATGTCATCGACTGACTAGTAACACCTTGGGGCAATGATACAGATATGTATGGGGTTGAAGGTACGGATACAAGTGGGCTTGTTGAACCTTTACCCTGGAGTAGTCTTTGGAGAGTGAAGGGAGCAGAAGAACCAGTCTGAGTGCCATAGACAGATGTAACCTGCTTTGAACAGGGCACAGCTGACTGACTAGTAACAACTTGGGGCAGGGATACAGCTACATATGGGCTTGAAGATCCTGAAACAAACTGGCTTGTGGCATCTTGACCCTGGAGTAGTTCTTGCAAAGTGAAAGGGGCAGAGGGTCCAGTCTGGGTGGTATAGACAGAGGTAACCTGCTTTGAACTTGACACAGGTGTTGACAGACTAGTAACACCTTGGGGCAATGATACAGCTATATATGGGGTTGAAGGTACTGAAACAACCTGGCTTGTTGAACCTTTACCCTGGAGTAACCTTTGCAGAGTGAAGGGAGCAGAAGAACCAGTCCGAGTGCCATAGACAGAGGTAACCTGCTTTGAACTTGGTACAGGTGTCAACGGACTAGTAACAACTTGGGGCAATGATACAGATACGTATGGGGTTGAAGATTCATAAACAACCTGCTTTGTTGAATCTGGACCCTGGAGTAGTTCTTGCAAAGTGAAAGGGGCAGAGGATCCTGTCTGGGTTGTATACATGGATGTAACCTGCTTTGAACCTGGCACTGGTGTCAATTGACTAGTAACAACTTGGGGCAATGATACAGATACGTATGGGGTTGAAGATTCATAAACAACCTGCTTTGTTGAATCTGGACCCTGGAGTAGTTCTTGCAAAATGAAAGGGGCGGAGGATCCTGTCTGGGTTGTATAGACAGAGGTGACCGGCTTTGAACCTGGCACAGGTGTCAGTTGACCAGTCACAACTTGAGGTGATGATACAGATATGTATGGGGTTGAAGTTGACTTGTGGCATCTTGACTAATTGACTTGTGGCATCTTGAGTCTGGATTTGTCCACCATATGTGGTACTTTCTTTCAAAGTGAAAGGGGCAGAGGATCCTGTCTGGGTGCCATAGACGGAGGTAAATTGCTTTGAACTTGGTCCAGTTATCAACTGACTAGTAACATATTTGGGCAATGATATGGTTGTATATGGGGATGAAGATCCTGGAGCAGACTGACTTGCACCTTGAGCCTGGGTAATTACACCATAGGTGGTACCTTGTGAAGCTGAACTAGACGGACTAGGGGAGCTCTGATCATTAGTAGACTGGCCAGTAACTCCAGTCTTCAATGCAAAGCTGCCACCTTCCCCTTGTGCAAAAACAAGTTGTCCAGAACCACTTGAAGTGGATGATCCAGACGAACCCTGAAGTGACACTAAACCACTCATACCAGATTGATCCACAGGCAGAGAAGCTGAAGAGGGGGTATTTGGAGATAGAGCTTGGGGTGTAGAGTCAGAACTGCTGGAAACACCACCTTTAACAGCCTGAAGTAGATTAAACTTGGGTCTGTTTTTTGGCAAACTAGAGACCACTTCTTCAAGCACAACCCCAGTCACAGGGGATTCTGGCACAGAAGACTGGACCACAAGAGGCAAGAAAGCGTTGTCAGATGGCTGACCCCACCATTGGCCAGCATTTGGATAAGTTAAATCTAGAGGGGGGAAAGAAAAAAAAAAAAAAAAAAAAAAAAAGAAGTTTTAGGGTGTACAAAAAATAATTTTCTAAATAAACATTTATATTAGAATACTTTTACAGTGTCCATGTATACACATGCACATTTCAAGTCACTTCCATTAAATAAATTGTATATGGCAGCTCAATAGCTTCTGTAAAAACAGAGCTACACTAAAGCTTGATTGTTTAGATAGTGAACCCAAAAATAAGCCTTCACTCAAGGTGGTTGTAAATGAACTTAAATTTTTGCTTAACACCAAAACTAGCTTTGCGAGTGTTAGAAATTTAAAACGGCAGAATTACATAGGAAAAACATTATGGAAATCAATGGTTAAAAAGGTCACCCATCATTCATTTTGCGAAAAATTTTACTTAACAGATTAATTTGAAAAAAAGTTTTTTTTTTTCTTCATGAATTTCGGTTTAGGTGAGCTACCACGTTAAGTGCCATCAAACGTCTCAGATCCACAAACTAGAAGTTGATACAAGCATAAAGTACACTTATGATAGAAAGGAAACCCTACAATCAACTACTTACATGCATAACCAGGAGCATTCATCCAAAATAGCAGGAAGACTACTAAAAAGGGTAACCTACAAGCAGAAAGACATAGCATCATTACATTAATCATTTTCAGGAACACAATATTTGCAGAACGAAACACAACCAGTGCAACTGGATAAACGCACCTTTTCCACCCTTGATCCATGGCTTAATAAAACCAAGCAACAAACCCAGCACACTGACTGCTTATTGTACCAAATCAAAAAACAACCCACAAAACCAAGCATGCAAAATGTTGGAGGTAAGTGTTTTTATAGGCCTTCAGCCATTCAATGAAATCACTAATTACATTAACACTGTTCACCTGGGAATATCACTTGCTCTAAAAAGACAATTGAACTTTTCATAAAGGGTCTGACCCCCTCTGCTGTTTAAACATTGTAAAGCAGCTAATCCCGGCCTTTCACTGTTTATTTTGTACAATTAAAGAGTAAATAAGTAAATGAATCATTTTTATATAGTTTTTTTATTGCCTGATGTATCAATTTTGCTGAATTGTGCATTGTATTGTATATTTGTTTACTAGTATTCTGAGCATCATTCATTTGCCCACAACAAACCATATGTAACATATTTTAGTTTTCATTCAATACATATCACTTGATATTGCATCATTGGCACCAAATACATCCTAATAAACAACCATAAATTACACATTTGTAGACAAGTGTAAAATGATCTAACAGTACATGGCAAAAGAAGAAAAGTCTATTTATCATTTCCTCAGACACAGTTTAAGAAAGAGTACGAAAGCAACGCCGTTCAGACTGTGATCTTCCATTACTTTATCTTAGATTTTGGTGTGTCAATTTATTAAATCGCTTAATTTAAGAAATTGTGATTCATATTGATGAGAGCAGTCTTCTTATTTCATTTGATTTTAAATAATTTGCTGGGAAAAAACAAATGTTTAGACTTAAAGCCTTCGCCAATGTGCAAAGCAAATTATTTCCTCCTTTGCTAATCATGCAGCAATGGAACAGCAAGAACCAATATATCACAATTTAGTTTATTGCAAATTGACATTTACCAGTGTATGAAGCAGAAAGTATATAGGATCAAGTTTTAATGTGCATGAATGTTTAAGCAAAAGAAGCAATTATCGAGAATCCAATTTACATTTTTATATACCCAATGCAGTGCTTTGCAATATACTGTACTTAATCAGAACAACAGTGTATTGATGGAGAAGTACACTATGGACAATTTAGCTTATTCAATTCACCTATACCGCATATCTTTGGACTGTGGGGAAAAACTGAGCACCCGGAGGAAGTATGTACATTCTTGGCACCAAAATAAATAATAAATATATTTCCACATTTATTGCCACGAAAATACATCACACTTTTTTTATACAAACCATAAAATAATGTGACAAAAGAATGACAAAAATAAATTGATTAGTGTTTGGATTTCCTCTTGATTTGATATGGCCACTGCAGTTTCTATGCATTTTAATGAACATCTGGCTACATTTCACAATTTATAGAACATTTTCTCTTTTAAATATACAGTGAAAAGTTTGAGATAAGTAAAAATCCATACAAAACATTAATCCATAATATTAGCACTTCTGAAATAAACAGGTTGTTTTATAATTCACACTAGTAGCCATATTACTTGCACTAAAGTCTAAACTTTGTCTGGCCTTTACCACACTGACACAAATCTATTTTGTACCTCTACCCCTTACAACAGAGGGTGAAGGGGAAGGGCTTAAAAATTTACCCCTAAGAATTGGGACAGCACCACAGCACCTGCATGTCATCGCAATCTCTTGCTTCATTTGAGATCAGACGATTGTGACTGCTGTAGTTATTCCAGTTGTGCTTTTTTATAGGTATTTATCTTCAGGAAATCACTGAAGGCATACATTATATTATCAAAACGATATAATGTGACAATAAGATTGCAATACTATGCATTTAACAGAGTGGCCATATTCATCTATGTAAACACACCAAAAACAACATAACCATGATTGTAGACACTGTAAAATGCCCATTGCCAGCCACTAGACACTACTGACAGGGTATTGATGTGTCATAGAGTGTCAGAATGTTGTGGGACTGCTATCCAGGAGTTATGATAATGGGTTTTAGATTGCAAAATTTAGCTTTTTTTTGGCGTTAATTTTTAAAGTATGACGGTACAACATGAACGCAGTTATGAATATAACATCAGCTCGTTTGTTGTAAAAATTTGTAATGGGGGGGGGGGAAAGATTTTTTACCCCTCTTTTTAGAGTGTGATTCTGAAAAATCTTTCGAAGGGGTATTCACCCCATCCCCTTAACCCTGCGTCTTCAATCTAAAGAGAATAAGGACCCCCCTACCCCTTGACGTAAAATGCGCAAAAGGGGGGTAGTGGTAAGGGGAAATGCGAAGGGGTAGAATTGGGATTGGGCCCAAGCCCAACAAAAATCATCCACACAGCGACACCATTCATACTACAAATAAATAATTCTGTAGAATGACAACGATCTCATATTCAAACTATATAAGTTTACAATTAATCACTTAAGTCCAAGATAAGCGTCACTTGCTAAACCATACCCACACATTTGAAATGGTCAGTTTGCTACATACTAGCAACAGAAACATCCTGAACCCACCAAAAATAAATTCGTTCACGCTTGGGAAACTTGAAAATTTTATTGGAAATTAAAGAACATTGCATCAGATGGCAGTTTAACGGTTTCCTAATCCTTAACAGAGTAATAACGTTTTAGGGTAGAAAAGCTGCTCGAAGGATTAGAAGAGTCACCGGTTGAGGTCTGGAGGACAGCGGATGAAGATCCCGTAGAAGACGCATCTTTGGCATTTTGAGGCTGGATTAATTCACCATAGGTGGTGCTTCCTTGCAAAGTAAAAGGAGCAGAAGAACCCGTCTGAGAATCATAGACAGCAGTAATCTTCTTTAAACTTGGCACAGCTGACTGACTAGTAACAACTTGGGGCGATGATAAATATACATATGGGGTTGAAGATTCATAAACAACCTGCCTTGTTGAATCTTGACCCTGGAGTAGTTCTTGCAAACTGAAAGGGGCAGAGGATCCTGTCTGGGTGGTGTAGACAGAGGTTACCTGCTTCGAACTTGGCACTTTATACGTCTGACTAGTTACAACTTGTGGCAATGATACAGATACATACGGGGTTGAAGGTTCTGAAACAACCTGGCTTGTTGAACCTTTACCCTGAAGTAGTTTTTGCAGAGTGAAGGGAGCCGAAGAATCAGTCTGAGTGCCATAGACAGTGGTAACCTGCTTTGAACTTGGCACAGGTGTCAACTGGCTAGTAACAACTTGGGGCGTCGATACAAATACGTATGGGAATGAAGAACCATAAACAACCTGACTTGTTGAATCTTGACCCTGGAGTAATCCTTGCAAAGTGAAAGGGACAGAGGATCCTGTCTGGGTTGTATACACGGGTGTAACCTGCTTTGAACCTGGCACAGGTGTCAACTGACTAGTAACAACTTGGGGCGATGATAAATATACATATGGGGTTGAAGATTCATAAACAACCTGGCTTGTTGAATCTTGACCCTGGAGTAGTTCTTGCAAAGTGAAAGGGACAGAGGATCCTGCCTGGGTGGTGTAGACAGAGGTTATCTGCTTTGAACTTGGCACTGTCGTTGACTGACTAGTAACACTTTGGGGTAATGATAAAGATACATATGGGGTTGAAGATCCATAAACAACCTGGCTTGTTGAATCTTGACCCTGGAGTAGTTCTTGCAAAGTGAAAGGGGCAGAGGATCCTGTCTGGGTGGTGTAGACAGAGGTTATCTGCTTTGAACTTGGCACTGTGGTCGACTGACTAGTAACACCTTGGGGCAATGATACAGAGGCGTATGGGGTTGAAGGTACTGAAAAAACCGGGCTTGTTGAACCTTTACCCTGGAATAGTTTTTGCAGAGTGAAGGGAGCAAAAGAACCAGTCTGAGTGCCATAGACAGATGTAACCTGCTTCAAACCTGGCACAGGCGTCAACTGACTAGTAACAACTTGGGGTGATGATACAGATGCGTAAGGGTTTGAAGATCCCAAAACTAATTGACTTGTGGCATCTTGAGTCTGGATTTGTCCACCATATGTGGTACTTTCTTTCAAAGTGAAAGGGGCAGAGGATCCTGTCTGGGTGCCATAGACGGAGGTAAATTGCTTTGAACTTGGTCCAGTTATCAACTGACTAGTAACATATTTGGGCAATGATATGGTTGTATATGGGGATGAAGATCCTGGAGCAGACTGACTTGCACCTTGAGCCTGGGTAATTACACCATAGGTGGTACCTTGTGAAGCTAAACTAGACGGACTAGGGGAGCTCTGATCATTAGTAGACTGGCCAGTAACTCCAGTCTTCAATGCAAAGCTGCCACCTTCCCCTTGTGCAAAAACAAGTTGTCCAGAACCACTTGAAGTGGATGATCCAGACGAACCCTGAAGTGACACTAAACCACTCATACCAGATTGATCCACAGGCAGAGAAGCTGAAGAGGGGGTATTTGGAGATAGAGCTTGGGGTGTAGAGTCAGAACTGCTGGAAACACCACCTTTAACAACCTGAAGTAGATTAAACTTAGGACTGTTTTTTGGGAAACTAGAGACCACTTCTTCAAGCAAAACCCCAGTCACAGGGGATTCTGGCACAGAAGACTGGACCACAAGAGGCAAGAATGCGTTGTCAGTAGGCTGACCCCACCATTGGCCAGCATTTGGATAAGTTAAATCTAGAGGGGGGAAGAATAAAAAAAATAAAGCTAAGGAATTAGAAAATAATCTTTGTACACATTTATAGACAAATATTTATATTGGATTAAATTCTTACTGTGTCCATGTATATACACATGCACATCTCAAATCCTTTACATTAAATTGGATCATGCAGCTCAATAGCTTCTGTAAAAAGAGCTACACAAAGCTCGTTTAATTATTTAGCCCAAAAACAAGTAGACTCAGGGTGGTTGTAAACCAAATTTAGATTTTGCTAAACACCAAAACAAGCTGTTAGAGATATAAAAACCACTGAATTCATTAGGAAAAACGTTATGCAATTTAAAAAGGTCACCCATCCATTTTGTATTAACAGACCAATTTGAAAAGTGACTTTTTAATAAAGAATTTTGGTTAAAGGTGAGCTACCACTTTGAGCGTAAAATGTCTTAGATCCACAAACTAGAAGTTGATACAAGCATAAAGTGCACTTATGATAGAAAGGAAACCCTACAATCAACTACTTACATGCATAACCAGGAGCATTCATCCAAAATAGCAGGAAGACTACTAAAAAGGGTAACCTACAAGCAGAAAGACATAGCATCATTACATTAATCATTTTCAGGAACACAATATTTGCAGAACGAAACACAACCAGTGCAACTGGATACACGCACCTTTTCCACCCTTGATCCATGGCTTAATAAAAACCAAGCAACAAACCCAGCACACTGACAGCTTATTGTACCAAATCAAAAAACAACCCACAAATCCAAGCATGCAAAGTTCTGGAGGTAAGTGTTTTTATAGGCCTTCAGCCATTCAATGAAATCACTAATTACATTAACACTGTTCACCTGGGAAAATCACTTGCTCTAAAAAGACAATTGAACTTTTCATAAAGGGTCTGACCCCCTCTGCTGTTTAAACATTGTAAAGCAGCTAATCCCGGCCTTTCACTGTTTATTTTGTACAATTAAAGAGTAAATAAGTAAATGAATCATTTTTATATATTTTTTTTTATTGCCTAATGTTTCAATTTTGCTGGATTATACGTTGTATTGTATATTTGTTTACTAGTATTTTGAGCATTATTCATTTGCCCACAACAAACCATATGTAACATATTTTATATAGTTTTCATTCAATACATATCACTTGATATTGCATTCTTGGCACCAAATACATCCTAATAAACAACCATAAATTACACATTTGTAGACAAGTGTAAAATGATCTAACAGTACATGGCAAAAGAAGAAAAGTCTATTGATCATTTCCTCAGACACAATTTAAAAAAGGGTACTAAAGCAACGCCGTTCAGACTGTAATTTTCCATTACTTTATCTTAGATTTTGGTCAGTCAATTTATTAAATCGCTTAATTTAAGAAATTATGATTTACACTGATGAGAGCAGTCTTCTTATTTCATTTAATTTTAAATTATGTGCTGGGAAAAGACACAAACTTTTAGGCTCAAAGCCTTCGTCAATGTGCGAAGCAAATTAATTCCTCCTCTGCATTTATTCCTCACAGCAAGAGCCAGTATAATTGCAAATTGACATTTACTAGTGTATGAAGCAGAAAGTATATAGGATCGAGTGTAAATTTTTGCATGAATGTTTAAGCAAAAGACTTTTTCACAATTATCAAGAATAAACCCAGTGCTGTGCTTTGCAATATACTGTAAATAATCAGTACAACAGTGTAGTGATGTAGAAGTGCATTGTCGCAGTATTATATTTAATTACTGTCATAAATAGGAATAAATTACACCACATCAATGTTTATTTCACGAAGCAAGTGGTCACATACATATTTTTTATAGTTTTCATGCATTATGAGGTCAATCACTTCTTTATGAACATAATATAGCACACTTTACACAGTACATACATTTATTGCACCAAAATAAATAATAAATAAATATATTGCCACAACCATACATCACACTTTTCGATACAACTCATAAAATAATGTGAGAAAAAAAATGAACAAAAATAAATTGCTCAGTGTTTGGCTTTCCTCTTGCTATAGTAAACAACTGCTCCTAAATTGATATGGCCACTGCAGTTTATGCATTTTAATGAACATCTGGCAACTCTTCATCATTTATAGAACATTTTCTCTTTTAAATATACAGTGAAAAGATTGTAATAAGTACAAATCCATACAATACATTAATCTATAATCTTAGCACTTCTGAAATAAAGAAACAGATTGTTTTGTAATACACACTAGTAGCCACTTGCTCTAAAGTGTAAACTCTGTCTGGCCTTTACCACACTGTTGTCACACTGAGCCACACACAAAAAAAACATCCACACAGAAGTGTAGCGACACTATTCATACTACATTGGCTTCACTATTTAGCAACACTTACATAATAAGCAAATACTCAGAGCAGCAATGAAAAACAGCTTTGTATTCCACCAATCTAGGCTGTGTTTACTTGATTTCAGAGACTGAGAAACATCTAGAAGTGTAGATGACAGATTCACGGTTGATTGAGAGACAAAGTGAATGAACAAGGAAGTAAGACTAATGTTTGGAGTCTCGGGGGTAAAACTCAGCCAGAGTGCTCTGAGGAATCCTCTTCAGCATCTCCTTGGGGAAGATTCGCAGGAGCTGCCAGCCAATGTCCAACGTCTCAAACACAGTCCGGTTCTCATATGCACCTGTGGCACAAAACATACTTGGCTCAAGTATGGCTAACGTCATATGGCACTTCAAGAGTTCCCACTTAGATATGCTGGGCATTTATAGCAGGTTTGGCATGCTGTCCCGAGAGAGAACCCTGAGCTCGGAGATATTTGAGCCCAGGGCTCCCGCCTGGTCAATAAGCATATCATGGGATCCGAGATCAGGTAGGTCTCGATCACCCCCCCCTTTAGAAAGGGAGAAAAAGGAGGAGATGGGGTGGAAAGGGGGATTCTTCCAAAACGAAGATAGAGCAATAAGGAGAAAGTGATCTATTTATATTAAGCTAGGATCATTCTGATTGGATTATTACTGATTACAGATGAGTGGCCAGCAGTGCACAATCATGTCACGTGCTCCTCTCGAAATTAGTTTGTGAAACTTCACTTCTGTTGCAAATCATTTATTCATTTTCTTTTCAGCTCAGTCCCTTAAGTAATCTGGGGTTGCCACAGCGGATTGAACCGCCAACTTATCCAGCATCTGTTTTTACGCAGCGGACGCCCTTCCGCATCACTGGGAATGTTGCAAGTCATAACATTTGTTAATAAAAAAAAGAAGGAAAATCATCACAATTTCTGGAACGATTCATGTTTTTTACACATACTGAACAGAATTTTACAGAATTCATTTATTCTTATATTTAAAAGTACAGTGTGTCATTTTTAAAGCATATTCACAACAAATATAGGCGTAGTTTGATAGTGCTTTTTAAGGAGCTGTTTACATGACAATGTTTTCAACCATAAATGTGAAACTTTTATGTCTTTAATGTGGTTGTCACTGCTGAAATAAAATTAAAAAAAAAAAAGATTTAAAATAAATACAATACAAAAACAGTGGCTCCTGATGACATGTATATAGAACTCTTCTTGTTGCATAATGTCTCAGGCTCAGTCAAATTTGAGCTTGTACCTTTATAATAAATAAGGAAATTGATGAATGCATGTTTTATTAAATAATCTTCAGTTTCCTGCACAGACTAATTATTTTACTTTATAGAACCTCAATGAATCATCAGAAGCCGTGAGAGTTAGGATTTGTTTAGCTTGTATTTAACTTTGTTTTCTGCACAATTCCATGTGTACCCTACCATTGTTACTTACCCTGGGAAATAAAGTTCCTCTCAAATTTCTGTAAGAACTCCAAGTACAACAAGTCATCTGATGTCAGTGCTTCTTCTCCAACCACAGCCTTCATTGCCTGCACATCTTTCCCAATAGCATAGCAAGCATACTGTAAAAAAAAAAGAGCAGAACCTGGGTCACAAACAATAAAGATAAAGAAATCTAGATAAAAATAAATAAATAAAAAAAAAACACACACAAGGATCACACATCAGCTTTTGATGGAGTGGAGAGATAATGATACAGCAAATTTGGTGGATGGGGATGATTAGAAGGCCATGATCAGTGATGGATGGACGGAATTTGGGGATATTATACCCCTACTCTTTACGAGAAGTGCCATGGGATATTTAATGACCACAGAGAGTCAGGACCTTGTTGTGATCCAAAAGGCAGCGCTCACAAAAAGTATAGTGTCCCCTTCACTATACTGGGGCATTAGGACTCACACAGACCACAGGTTGAGCTGGCCTCACTAACACCACTTCCAACATCAACCTAGTTTTCCCATGTGGTCTCCCATCCAGGTACTGACCAGGCTCAGCCCTGCTTAGCTTCAGTGAGTAACCAGTCTTGGGCTGCAGGGTGATATAGCTGTGGCGATTCAGCACTGCTATTCAGCAGGGATGCATTCACTTGCTCAAAACTGATAATAAAAACTTCTAACGCAGAATGCTTCTGTAACCCCGCCAGTTCTACACCACCCAACCCACTCCAAGCTGGGATCGAACTAGCGACTCTCTGCATGGGATAAGGTTGCTCTAATATGGAGGCTAAAGATTATGGCTTCTAGCGTCTGTTGCACCTTTAATAAGTCAGAGAAGCAAGGTTTACCTGCACAGCACTTCACTCCCTGGCCTCTGTAACCTCTTCTTGAAGTGCAAATTATGAATTCTAAAGTATCAATTCACAAAAGACTGAACTAATGACTGTTGAAAATTCAGCTGTCATCACAGAATATAATGACCTTTTTAAAAATACAATGGATTTGACTTTTACTGTATTGTTGCTTTTGAAAAATCTGCATTTGGAGTACAATCGACTTCTTCGGGAAAGAAAAAAGATAATAATAAATATTAACAAAACTAAAAGGGATACTGTAAAACATTTCCCATACTGCCATACTTACAAGCTGATTAGAGACATCCGAGTGGTCTTTACGTGTCATTCCCTCACCAATGGCTGATTTCATCAATCGAGACAAAGAGGGTAGTACATTGATGGGAGGATAAATCTGCATAATATGATCAATAATAGTTAGAAAACATCAAAAGAGATGCAGTCAGATAAAGTGTAATTATAGCTTTAAAAGTACAAACTTTAAGCTTGTATCCATAACTCACCTGTCTGTTATGAAGCTGTCTATCCACATAAATTTGACCTTCAGTGATATAGCCAGTTAAATCAGGAATAGGATGAGTAATATCTGCAAATATTAAATAGGCAAGTAAACCAGTTATGATTATATAAGTCCAGAAGTTGTTGTTTTTACTGTTTTACTAGTACACTATGGCATGAGAACTGTGCTGATAATGTAATTTCTTGTTGTGGCCAAAAATAAGAAATGAAGTAAACAATATTTATGAAAGCTAATCTACAGAAGATAACAAAAGCAAGCAAAAACTATTGTTGAGCACTTTTGTGAGGGAATTAACAGACATCTACAAATGTATATCAAATAAGTACAAAGACATCTGTCTTGCTTATAACTTTTAGAGACCAAAAGCCCAGACACTGGACGAGAATAATTCTTTCTATGGCCTGTGTTCATGCATACTATGAAAATGAAGTATGCTTTGAAAAGCTTCATGTATACTGTGAGCTTAAAGATCCCAAAATGAAAATGTACCACTGTTTCCTTAACCTCAAGTGCTTCCAAACCTTTATGAGTTTCTATATTCTGTCGATCACAAAAGAAGATATTATGAAGAAAGCTGAAAACCTGAAAGCATTCCAAAGTAGGAAAAACAAATACTACAAAAGTCAATAGCTTCCA